ATGGTAACATACCGTCAAACAGAGCCCCAGCGCTATAAGTACGCAGCGCTCTGTCGCGGCGTTAGGACGCTTTGACGTCAGGCGTTGTAATTTTTTACAAATTTTATTTTAGCGCCCGAGTGAATGTGTATTAAAATACTAGATAATGCCCGAAAAAATGATATAAATAGTTAGAAAATACCCATGCTTATACAATGCCACATCTGAATCACTCGATTTCTTAATACTTTTAAATTTTCACACTGCTATCGAAAGACACTATGATTTGGCGAATGCGTTGCGTCAAGGAGACTCATCTAGTCAATTTGAAGAGCGCGACGTTAAGTACGCGTTCTGTTTGACGAAGGCTTTACTTCTCATTTTTAAGTTTTTTTTAAAGCCATATTCATTCAGGATAAAATTAACTGCTTGTGAGATTTGCTACGTAATAAATTACTTCGTAAGCGGTTGATTTTTCAATTTTTAGTTAAATACACGACTGAAAACAATTATTAAATAAATACTGAATATTCGCGTTCTAATATTATAACCAATTTAACTAGATAAGAAACATGAAGTTTATATAAAGATCAATCAATCCGATAGTTCATTTGGCCACATTACGTATTACAGTAATATAGAAACCAGAGATTGACGTGTAAACTTAATTACGATAAAAAAATATTACACGCACGAGTAAATATGCTCACGTCCTACCTTTTCTTTTTGCCGAGCTCACGGCCCAACTGGCGTTAAGTGGTTACCAGAGCCCACAGACATCTGCAATGTAAATGCGCCACTCACCTTGAGATATAAGTTCTAAGGTCTCAACATAGTTACAACGGCTACCCCACCCTTCAAACCGAAACGCATTACTGCTTCACGCCAGAAATAGGCGGGGTGGTGGTACCTTCCCGCGCGGACTGACAAGACGTCCTACCACCAGTAATTACGCAAATTATAATTTTGCGGATTTGATTTTTATTACACGATGTTATTCCTTCACCGCGAAAGTCAATCGTGAACATTTGTTGAGTACGTATTTCATTAGAAAAATTGGTACCCGCCTGCGGGATTCGAACACCGTTGCATCGCTCGATACGAATGCATTGGACGTCTTATCCCTTAGGCCACGACGACATGACTCGTAAAAAATATCTTTTTTAATTTAAAACAAATTTAATAAGGTTTTTTTGTGTAATTATATTGATTTAAATTTTATACACACAAAATTACAAGTGTGAGTCAGAGGTCTGATAAAAATGATTTATGACTCGGTTCGCACGTTTGTAACGGCCCAAGTAAAGTAGAAGTTTTCCTTTGTAATCTAGAACCTTCTCTTGTTTTATTTCAGATGCGGCACCGAACGTTATCCAGCGATGTTCTCGTATCTAGCGTCACCGAGCAATTTAGACTTCATCACGAACGCGACCAACTATTTGCTATCCGAAAAGAGGCAATATCCGTTCATCGACAAATTCCCCCGATCGAATCCTATAAAACAGTCCCCGCCGCCATAGTGATCGCACTACTAAATCCAACGTACTAAAAATATATTTAGCTACCCTCGTGATACGACTAAAACTGTTTTATTGCTAGATTGAGTAAATCACACAGATGACCAGTGTGTTTAGTTAGAACAGCGCCCCTAGCGGCAAACATAAGCAAAGTTCCAACTCCATACAAATTTCAGTTAACTTTTACGCTATCGAGAACGTTAACAAACTCGCACTTAACACACTGGTATTCAATAGTTTGCTTCGTGAATGCCAAATCCCATCTTTTTTTTTATTGCTTAGATGGGTGGACGAGCTCACAGCCCACCTGATGTTAAGTGGTTACTGGAGCCCATAGACGTCTACAACGTAAATGCGCCACCCACCTTGAGATCTCAGTATAGTTATAACGGCTGCCCCACCCTTCAAACCGAAACGCATTACTGCTTCACGGCAAAAATAGGCAGGCTGGTGGTACCTACCCTTCCGGACTCATAAGAGGTCCTACCACCAGTAATTACACAAATTATAATTTTGCGGGTTTGATTTTTATTACACGATGTTATTCCTTCACCGCGGAAGTCAATCGTGTACATTTGTTAAATACGTATTTCATTGGTACCCGCCTGCGGGATCCGAACACCAGTGCATCGCTTCAACACCAATGCACCGGACGTCTTATCCTTTAGGCCACGACGACTTCAAAATCTTCTGACATGAGCTCCAAATTCGACTGAATAAAGCCCTACATATGCATGCGCGCTCGAAGGAATAGAGGAGGATATAGAGGAAGAGGTAGATCTAAGAAGAAATGGATGGATTGCACAAAAGACGATATGTGTAAGAAGGGAGTGAGCGAAGAAATTGTATATGATAAAGGAGTATGGAAGGAGGAAACATGTTGCGCCGACCCCAGGTGACTGGGAGAAGGGCAGGAGAATGATGATGATATGCATGCGCGCTCGACCCAATACAACCTTCTACGACATGTACAGTACCCGACGATAAGTACTGCACATCGACCTTTAGAAAGGGAAGATCGGCTAATTTCGCCTTCGTAGAGCGCTATCTCTGTCACACTCTACCTATGTGACGTTTGTCAGTCATTGTTTTACTACGATCGTGAACGGTCGGACAGCGCTATCTCTGTCACACTCTACCTATGTGACGTTTGTCAGTCATTGTTTTACTACGATCGTGAACGGTCGGACTGGTCGTGTTTCATGCGACAGTATATATCACCGGATATTGTACTATAGATTCTCATCACAGTTCCTAAGCATATTGCTTTGTACACCAGTAGGTACCACATTTAAGACTCCTTACAACAAAATACACAAGTATCGAATTGTTAAATCTATTGGCGCAATAGTTAGACCCTCGACAGCTGAGCTGAGGAACGTGGATATTATTCCAATCTGAGTAAATTTTCGTGTGACGAACGAGATTGCTTACTTTTACGTACGGGAAATCCCAATTTGGACCCAAACGACCGTGTAGTATTTCTCTCAAATTATTATTCGATCAAAGCGCTTAGTTGGCAACACGCAATCATGATGATTAAATATTTGGATCATTGGTAGTGGATATTTTTAATTTACTAGTGGTAGGGCGTCTAATAAGCCCGCACGGGTATGTACCACTACCCTGCCTATTTCTGCCGTGAAGCAGTAGTGTATTTTGACTTGAAGGATGAGGCAGCCGTTGTACTGTAAGCTTAAGACCTAGAACTCATGTCTCAAAGCGGACGGCAGCACATATGTATTTAAGGTTTTTTTTATGATTGAAAGATTACTGGCGGCCCGGAGACCTTTCCAGTTTCACCAGGACAGGTGGGCGAGCAAAGGCTCAGCCAAGAGAAGTGGGATTTGCTAACAACTGCTCGAGCGCATACGAAGGAGACCTAAGCAATTCAAGAGCAATTTCTTCGCAAATGAATCTACTACCGAATTGGAATCGCGACCCGCTGAGAAGATCCGGCGAGAAACTCAGCGGGCTGATGCGTGGTTTAGGTTGCACGTCGACCTCTTTGTCGAGTTCGACAAGTACGGTTACCGGGGTAATAGGTTACCGGGGTGATGTATTTGAGGATTGTAGGCCCCGGGTAACCACTTAACACCAGATGGGCCGTGACCTCGTCCACCTATCTAGGCAAAAACAAAAGATTCACTCGTCATCGGTTAAGGAAACTTCGTTAACTCATCAGTGGTCCATGGTCTCCTATATTGGTACTTCAAGTAACGATTCAAATTAGTATTAATTACGTAATAAAACGACCGATGATTACATGAGCATATTATATATTTTTTTCCTCTTTAAAATTGTAAAACTCACAATTTGAAGATGCAAAATTATAACTAAATTTTTCAATATCGTTAATAGTAACAATCGCCATATCATTCATTTATATTAATTTCATTTTTATTTATTTTTAATTTTCATTAACGCCTTTCTGTGCTTCTCGCGAACTAATAATGTAAATCATTTACACATCTATAATAATAATCATAATAATAATAATAATAATATTTTAATTTCTAACAAATTCATTTCTTAACTTTCTCTCCGACATTTTTGTTTTCCAGCATCAACTTCGCACGTTTTTCTTTTTTTATATTTTTATGTTAATTTTTTTTTATATTTCTTACCTGTCACATATTATTTCCAAATATAATGTAACGCATATTCACTTTCGCACCGACGACAATCATTTTAGAAAACATTGGAATGACCTCCACTGGAGGGCTAAGCTTAAAATAAACTTAAAATACAAGAATATAAAGTTCACATTCGTTGGTCGAATTAAAAATCAATTGTATTCTTTGGCAATTTTTTCAGTATTCAAAAGTGAATTTACAATTATTTTTAATTGATTTAACTGGCGAGAAGCGAAAAATTTTACTTATCGAGTCTTGTTTAGTATGTACTGGAGCTAAAGTACCTTAAGCTTATTTCTATTAGAAGAATCGATTGAATCTATGATCAAATTTGTATCAACTTCAAAATCTTAAGTCTCGTACACACTAAACAACACCCTATATAAGAATCATCGTAATGAAAATGCAGCAGAGCCCTGATTGGTTGGACTTGTCTAAATACAAATCTAATTGGACGAAAACTTGTAAAGCTGCGTTCACAGCAGCGTGATACATGAACAGCAATATAATAAGCGTTTAAACATCTGTAACTATCCTATTGCATTATAATCGTAAAGTTATATTAAGGATGCTAGAAAAAAAACACTGGCCAGAACCTAAGCCGACGATGAGGTAAGCTCTCAAAGTAATTAGGCCAAAATCGAAATCAGTTTTTAATGTTAACTATTTTTTGTACCTGAGCAGTAAGTAATATAACCCTTAATTTCTAAGTACTTGGCCATATAATCTATGGTAACAGATATACAGTTAACGTTTGAATATTTCTTGTACTGAACAGAGCGAAAATTGATAATATTACACTAGTTTAATTTATGAATTATAAACAAAAGGGACGAGAATCAAAAATGAGATGACGGATTGATCAATATTGGGGAAAACAAAAAAGATTTCTTTAATAATGAAAAAAAAAAAATCTTATAAGAAATTAATATGGGTCGCACAATGAACCCAAAATACATTCAAAAGCAGCAATACGAATTAAGTCTACAGCACTATTCATAATACAAAACAACAAATTAAATTCGTGCTTATTACACCTAAATACGTTAAAAACTATTAATTAAATCTCTGATAAAAGTGAAATTACCGTAGCCGCCCTTTTTTCTTCTTCGTATAAGCAAATTTATTTTTCGATTTCGCAATTTACGTCGCACCAGGCAAGAATATTTTTTTTAAACCTAATAATCTAGAGACTCCCTGATTTTTTTCTCTTACACCCTAAAATTTTACACAAAAATATTAATTTTGTACTCTTTCGACGAGTTTTCTATGGCAGCTTTCGATTTTAGCTCGAACGCGGAAAACTTACACTTCAATGGATAAACAACTGATTGTTTTACACAAGACAATACGTCAACCGTATCCGAAAAGGATGTTTTTTTTAAGTATTTTAGATGGAAAAGATACGTCTTCAATTGACACTAAAATATTGGTTTCCTTTTTTTTTCTATTTACGGCATGTAACTGATTTTACCCTTACGTTTTGATATAATTTAGTCCATCGCCTTTTACATTTTGAGAATGCTAAAAGTTAGAGTTGCCCACACATTCCTATCGTAAAATGTAGCTTACGAATTTCTTACAATTTACACCAAAAGCAACACACATAAATCATATTTTACAAAATCAGCGTTCATAGAAATGAAGGATATCATTGATTTCCGCGCGATCATCTTATAAAATTTCACAAATTTCAATAATTTTTAGATCAGTAATAACTACTGTTTTTTACATCACTAGTTTTAAACACTTAGCTTATTTAAATTAACGTTTAATCTTTACCGATAGCTGGATAAAAAGTTTAAATGGCAACCCAAAATAAAATATCGCAAACACCTGAATATTGCAATTTTGTATTGCCAGTTAGACTTACAAAGATATAGTTTTGTACATTTAAAATGGTTTCGTTTATCAAGCACGTGTAACTATTGCAAAATTTAAGTTATCTACTTAGTTTAAAATCGAATAAAAATTGTGTATCTGGTGCTATTGTAAGAGAAAGATCACTTAGAACTATTTTACTTTTCGATTTGTTTAAAAATTTAGTTGGCATACTTATGAATATCACGTCAAACTTTTTTTCGGTGTATTTACCTCGTTGTTTGAAGGTAATCATGTTATTTTAAAGTATTTACCTACTTTCGTTGCAACCTGTACAAGTTTTAAAGTACCAAATATTATATAACAAACCACCATATGATCAAACAATGACGTCATCTAAATATAAAAATTCAGAATGTTATAACAATACGCCTAAATATATTTCACATTATAACATTCCTGTACAACTGAAATACAAGAACTAAAGCATTTTTAAATTTCCAACGATAAACTTTATTAAATACCAATGGCTTAAGTTCAACTACTACCGATTTCGATCTGCTGAAAACCACACTCGAAGTCTATGGTTGCAAACATTTTAATACACGGATCTTTTAAAAATATCCAAATTTGAAGCCGAAAAAGTCCGTGAATCGTTTCGCCTGATCCTATGGTTGATTTAACAATAATGTCTCGAGCTCATCTGCCGAACGCAGTAGGAAAGCTGCGGACTCGCGGTATCCAGTGATGAGCTGCCTCACGGCTCCTACCTCCGGTCCGGACAGTTTGTGAGTAAACAGCTGAGATTTGGACTGAGTGGAAGAAGTGGTTCCAGTTAGAGATGGCGCGGATGTAACGTGAAGAGGCGCTGGCACTGAACTTTTTAAGGACAGGTCTGTCGGAGCTGCAGATAATAAATAAAAATAATTAGACAATAAAAACCACTATAGTAAACTTCGATGAGTCTTATGGAATGTTTTAGTGAATGTCTTAATTTTGCTCGCAATTGAACTTACCACTAATATTAGTTGGAAATGTGTGTGTATGAGCCGCCATTGCAGACAATAGTGCATTTTGGTAGGCAGCCATTGCAGCATTCACCCCAACCCCTGAAACATGTAATAATTTTATAATTACACAAAATACACATTATTATAATTACACAAATGGTACACATAAATGGTAATCTGAATACGAAAATTCGAATTGTATTATAGAATTACTTAATTTCTTATTTAATTTATATAACAAACTTTACAGAACGACACAACGAAAATGAATTGAAAAAAAATACATAAATCCCTAGATAGTAGATAATGCCTTTTTTCTATCAATTCAGCGTTTGATATGAATGTTTACCTGAAGGAGGTAGAGCCGTGAGGGTAGACAGAAGTGCGCTACTCGAGAGTGCTGATGCTGGTGTTGTGTTCACACTGAAATATCGAGAAATATGTTTAAATATCAGTAAAATATTAACCCGACAAATTGAATTGATGGCGTACGATTTATGTGGTTTAAAACAGCGCTGCATAGCCCCAATGACCGCGTATGATCTTTAGATTGTCCTTTAATATTATGGTATTGTATCCTTTCAATTTACGTAAAAATGTATTTCGAAAAATACAAAAAATTATCGCAAATCACTACTAACAGGACAACGTATTTGTGACTTTTTGTTACTCTATCAAATCTGATTTGATGTTTAAATCAGTCGTTTGGTAAAAATTCATACTTTTGCCTTCCGAAGCCTTGTGGAGTACCAAATGTAGCCGGGAAAGTTGGTCTGAATAAGGGCGCCGGTGACGAAGCTGGACTGAAAATAAAAACAAGATCGTGAATGACTATTCTTTAAATCACTTGTAAGCAAAAGAGACTGATTTTCTTGTTTACAGGTCGAATAATAGAAATCTTCTTACTTTTGAGTGTCTGATAAAATTATTGATGGGATAATAGACGTAATAAATTTAAATTGTGTTGAATATATTTTATCTCATACTTTAAATGCGAGATTCGTTTTGACTTCTAAACTTTTAATACCATTGTGGCGGGTAGCCATCATACAACGCAACATATTTGACAGATGCCTGCATCTCGCTTACGACATTTTCAAGTTATGCTTGCATATATACAAGTTCCGAACAACAACGTTCGGACCGTCGGTCTACCGAGTAATATCACCCGCTCGGTGGAAGATCTTCCCTTTGTCGTTTAAGCTGGGAAGCTTAAAACCATCATTATTTAGATAAATTAAAAACTTGACAACTAAACTAAACGATGTTGCAATTAATTGTTGAATTAAAAATGAATGATAGATAAAAGTAATTAATTTAAACTACCAGGAAAGCATAACTGACCTGGCGGTCTTGCTTCCAGTATTTCCATTAGCGTTGTCCACTTTCAAAGTGTTGTTGTTCAACAAAGCGTTCTCCATGGTCGGGCTGGCTGATGGCCTTGTAGTGTCCGCGGCGGCCTTGCTGTGGCCCGCAGCTGCCAGGGAAGAGGTAGAGGTGGTGGTCGCTGAAGTCGACGCGGGGCTGCTTATAGCTCCGCTGTATAAGCTTAGGAACGATGAAGCTACAGCTGAAGTGGCCGTTGAATCTATTGCCTGAAAATGTTAAACAGAGAATATTTAATTTTCAAAAAAATATATTTTAGTGCCAAGAATTTTGCCAATGGTGTTGGGGATTGGGTTTTATTTGACCGATTCGAAATGAAGCCCACTGAGTTTCTCGTCGAAACTTCTCAGTGGGTCGCGTTTCCGATCCGGTGGTAGATTCTGCAAAACACTGTTCGCTAGGGCCAGTTTTAGCAACACCTCCGGTTTGAGCCCTGAGGACTCACCCACACGCTAGGGTAACGCTGATATAATCTCTCAAGGCTATAAGAAAAAGCAAAAAAAGGTGGTATGAAATTTATTTGCCAATGACGAATAAGCTAGGGTCTGTGGATACAATACCTTTGTCCGTCATCAAGCGTAGAGCTAGTCGAATTATTGTACATATTTACCATAGGCGTGGGCACTGTGGGCATGGGCTGGCTGACCGGGTCGAGGCCGAGCCGCATGCGCTTGGCGTTGAGGCTCTCGTTCTCGCACGCCTGCGCCAATATATGTTCAGCTTGTACTGATGTTAAGTGCGCCGGAGTCGGCCGGACCTGGTATGTCGTTCAACGAATACGTTTAATACGTACTAGTGATAGGCACTTTAAGGGGACGCCACTGATTGTAGCTTTACTATCATCATTTACGAGGCCACTATTGTAATTGTGACTGGCAAACAAAGCACGCTCAGTTTTGGAATTGAATGAGCAATGAAATGACCTCGAGAAAAACGCTACTCTTCGTCGAACGATTTTCTTATAGAAGACATTTTGTTTGGAGAAAAATACTCCGTTTTTTTTTGGGAAATTCTCAGCTTACAGCTACAATATTGGCGTACCGTAACGCATTACGTCGGTATCCTACAAAATTCATTAAATATTTTCGCATGTCACTAAATTGTTCGATTTTTTTTTATTCCTCGATAGGAGATATCATGTGTCTGTCGACCAAGTGACAAAAGGATAGCCAGTGATGGCTTTGTCATAGCTAGTAACACGTCCGATGACAATAACAGTACCAAAGTTTCGCCGGCTATTGGAAGTGTGTGTCGTCATATTGTGACGTCACTATCGTATAGTTACTCAAGATGCCGCGAAATCTATTTTTATAAGCGATTTGGTATTGAAATGAGTTTGGCTTTTATAAATTATTAGATTTAGATAAATGAAGATTGCACAAAGTGGGAATGAGTTGCTCGCTCCGGGCATTTCAATATTGTAGTAATTGTTACGTTATAATACTCATTGTAAAAAAATCATATTTAAAAAAATAATCTAATATTAAAAATAAATAAATAATAATTTCATATTTAAAAAAAAAAAAAAAAAAATACATGCCCGCTGAGTTTCTTGCCAATTCTTCTCAGGACGGAGGCTAGTTTTTGTGAATTGGCGGTAGTTCTTTTGACGTTCAACAAGTATGTACTTTCATTTATGTTGAATAATTTTTTTTTGATTTGTTTTGATTTGATTTAAAGATCGTAATATATACCTAACCTCGACTGTGTTTTACCAGAACGTTTTATTGAAATTTATCTGACTTCGAATACTGCATTTGTGTAAATTCAACAACCAGGCAACCATAAAATATAAGAAGCGATCGGACCCTCACCGTGGAATCCCAAGCGCTGCCGCTGCCGGGTGTGTTCCCGCTGCCACTGGTAGGAACATCGCCTCTCACTTTCTTATTCCTCCTGCAGCTCTTCAAATACGTCCTGATCCTCTTACGGGCGCGTTCAGCGAACTCCGGGAACTGACGCGTGCATGAATCGATGATGGCTTGAATCTTCTCTTTAGGCTGTTTGGAGATGGGAACTATTCTATCTAGATTCTCGTCCACGAATAGACGGACGAACATCTGAAAAGTAAGCCAAAACTTAAGTAATTTTTCAATTCGTTTTTGAAGTGATAAGCTGTTATGGGAGGTCAAACCGCTTCGTTACGTAACGCGTTACGGTGCCAGTCGGTCTGGCTTCTCTTTCTCTCACGCATACGGGAGCCGTACTGAGAACTTATGTAACTCCTAGCTACTTATATATCTATTTAATATCTAATAATCTATTTGTCTATCTATGTTACAATTTTCCTTACACTATCATATTAATATACATAAAATTAAAGTAATAACCTAAGCTTTTAGCTAAGTTAAACAATTTCAAAATTAAATAGTTCAATTTAGATGGATTTAAGTTACCATTTCTGTCAGACGTCCCAAGATGCACATTTTTTTTATTTAAGGCTTCAAGCGTTATATATATAGGATTGGTAAGAACAGAACGTATGAAAATAGTGTGGAACGAAACTTTAAGGTGTGAGTGAGAGAAAACGGTAAGAAAGGGAAAGGAGAATGACAGACGCTAGTGACAGAAAAAAATAAGATGGCGGAGACGGTTAAGGCGTAAAAAAGGTGTTAGTACAAAAGATTTTGGAAGAGTGTAAGTATTATTTTATGCGCTACGATCCCTACTGTACATATATGAAATATTTACATTAAACGCTTTCAATCTCTCCGGATCGTGATGCTGCGGATCCACCCGGTCGTCGCTATCGTCATCCGAAGCGCCACCATCGTCGTCATCTTTGGTCCGGTCGGACGACGATGTCTCGTCATGGGTAGAGGCTGGTTCCACCGGAGTCGCTGACCCAACGTGGATTGGACTCTGATAAAAGGTATTTCTTTTAATGAAACTAGTTTCGATCTATAAATGAAATGCATTTATTTCAGGCAACTTAAGTCCATAAAATTTCACGTACAATAACATAAAAAAAAGACAATAAATTTATAATTACAATTTATCAGAATGACCAAAAACAAAAACAAACAAAAATGAAACCAAATCAAATGAAACCGAATCAAAATTATCAACTACTAATATAAAATTAAAATTATAATAATAAAGGAACTAATACCATAAATGCCTGGAATTTTGATTTGACTTTATTTATCATCTTCATTACTTATTGTTCAGGTTATTTTATTTTTTAATTATTTTATTGCTTTGAGGGGTGGACGAGCTCACAGCCCACCTGGTGTTAAGTGGTTACTGGAGCCCATAGACATCTACAATGTAAATGCGCCACCCACCTTGAGATATAAGTTCTAAGGTCTCAAGTAAGTTACAACGGTTGCCCCACCCTTCAAACCGAAACGCATTACTGCTTCACGGCAGAAATATGGTTTTAATGATTAGGCTTTTTTTGAACGAGCCCTCAGAAAAGCTGGGGTTAGGTGGTTATGGGAAGTTGACATCACAACGTTAGCGACCTTGACTACGTCTCGGCTTCAAAGTCTGGATTTCATTGTACCGCGACTTTGGCATATTCCAAACTAGAACGCATGATTGCTTTGCGGTAATCGACAGGATCGATGTACCTACCCGTGCGTTCTTCAACACGCCCTACCAAAATTATCTAATTATTTATTTTATTGCGCGCACGTCCCACCTGATGATTGCCGTCTCTCATGCACATCAGCAATGCAACAAAACCAACCGCTCTAAGTGGTCATAGCTACGGCGACTAACAGTTCTTCCTACCACCAGTATTGGCGCATTATTATTTCGTGCTTACTCCTTTATTTTACACATTGTTTTCTGAATTATTTTTTAAGTAAATTCTTTGAGCAACCAAGTATGCTCATCCCGATACAGTTGTTGCAAAATGGTTTTTTGTCAATGAATAATTTCACAATTTAACGCTATTTTTGTTTAATTCGTGAACAGATAAATAATTTATGCGTATATCTTACTTACATTACTAAATCATTTTTATGATGACATATAACATGAAATGGTATTATTAAAAATGTCGTGCCAAACCTTAAAACTCACCGAGTGTCCAGTATTCATGGGCGTGGGAGCTTTCGGTGGCTTGCTGCCGAGGCCCAGAGCGCTGTGGTATGAAGCCCACAGATCAGCCATGCTCTCACCACCAGAATCGGGTTCGCCATTACGACCTGAAAAACGTAATGCAATTAAAATCTAAACAAAATTGATATCTATGTCTAAGCAATTTAAAAGCTAAAATTGATTAATAAATTAAGAGGCATTGTTTTCAATTGTTTGTTCTATATAAAACAACATATCTCGGGTTGTGATAACATCTTTATTTGATGGTAAAAAGTAAGGAAATTTCTTGCGACTTATATAGAATTGCGGGTTAATTAGTCGTATTAACTTGACTCATGTTTTCTCTTTCGCACCCATGTGAACAGTCATTACAAAACCGATAACAAGAAACAACTGTATCTACGTGGGTGTACTACTATACGCTTATTTACAATTGAAGTCGTCGTGGCCTAAAGGGTAAGATGTTCGAATCCCGCTGGCAACTACCAATTTTTCTAATGAAATATTACGTACTTAACAAATGTTCACGATTGACTTCCACAGTGAAGGAATAACATCGTGTAATAAAAATCAGACCCGCAAAATTATAATTTGCGTAATTACTGGTGGTAGGACGTCTTGTGAGTCCGCACGAGTAGGTACCACCACCCTGCCTATTTCTGCCATAAAGCAGTAATGCGTTTCGGTTTGAAGGGTGGGGCAGCCGTTGTAACTATAGAACTTAGAATCCATATCTCAAGGTACGTGGTGGCATTTACGTTGTAGATGTCTATGGGCTCCGGTAACCACTTAACTTCAGGAGGGCCGTAAGCTCGTCCACCTGTCTAAGCAATAAAAAAAACAAAATAAAAATCAGCTGGCTGTGTTCCTTGAATTGCTGACATCCATGAAAAACGCTCACCAGCTACCATCAGATAGGCAGTACGCGCAATAAATTAAAGAATCCGATAGTTGTAATAGATAGATAGAGCGTAGGTAGCCCGCTTGGGTAGGTATTACCGTCCTTCCTATTTCTGTCGCGAAGCAAACACGATTTCCAATTTGAAGATCGGAACAGTCGTTATACAGTACAACTTACACTTCGACCTAATCTCTCAAAGTATATTCATGTGGAGATGACTATGGACTGTGGTAAGCACTTTACACCAGGCGGGCCATGAGCTCATCCACCCGTCTACAGAACTAAATTATTTATTATCAATAGGTTGTTTAATAACTCACTAAATAGCAACAAGTGATTTGTCTAAATTTCCGAGGTCTTTTTTCCGAAATATATTTATTTGTCAAGCATCGCAAAATATCTCTAACGTTTTATACTTCGTTTGGTAAAGTCTTTGGCATATTCTTTGCAGCTATAAATCTATATATTAATACGTGAAGCAAAAACTTTGTATCCCTTTTTACGAAAATTGCGCGGACGGAGGAGTATGAAATTTTCCACACTTATAGAGAAGAAGTGCACAATGCTAATATTTTTTTAAAATAATGCATAAAAGATACATAAAATCAATAAAGAAAACATTACTCACACTTACATACCATGTATTTGACGCACACACGCATGCATACTATTTATTGTCAAACTTTTGTTCTCGACGTCGGTGGTCAAATTGAGAATAGATTAAATAATGTTTGTCTTTATTAATATTTTTTTATAGTGTAGTCTTGGCGAAATTTGTGATTATAGAAGTATAAAATACAATCATAAAAGTGTACAAACTTACAATTCCAATTAATTATAGTCGATTTTCGACTACTGCGGGACCTCTAGTCAAGATAAATTTGCCTTCGTTGCCACGGTATTTAGCCAATCCTTACGACGACAATGGAGCAAGCAAAAAACAAGGCCTTCATATACCGTAACAAGACCCGAGAGTCCTATAATTTTGCCATAATATAGCTTAACATGAACAGTCAGTTACCAAGGCGGCAGAAATTAATGAGAGCTCGCAGGACTGTGCATCTGCTTCTAAATGTCAACTTGAACGAGTATTTTAGTGCTGTCGGTGCTATCGATAAAATCCTACGTAGCAATATCGATGTTCATTGATTATAATTGTAACTCTATTTTCGAAATCAATATATCGACTTTTCGCATTAAAAGTGTACAATTTCCAAAAATATTCGAAATCGAGTTAATACGCGGAAGCATTTGGCATCACTAGTATTTTTCTCATAAATACTCTGTCAGATGAGCGTAGTTTAGTTTTAGTTTTTTTTTTTTTTTAGTTTTCCAATGTTTTGACTACTATTAAAAAAAAATTTATACATAATTTTATCTTACTTTAAAAGATAGATAATGTAACTGGTAAAAAAAAAAGTTGCAAAGATGATTAATATTAAAAATATCACATGTTAAATCTTTAAAACACTCCTCGAAAATTAGTAAGTTTTGAGATTACCTATACAGTTTTAATGCGAGAAAACGATATTTGAAACAGCCCATGATCATTACGTTGATTTAGTAGTCATGAAGACCATGTAAACGAAATCTACATTAGCAAGACGTTAATTTTGACAATTCAGTAATTAAATTTTTGAAGGTATCAAATAATTGTGAATCTTTTTTTTTTATTTCTTAAATAGGTGGACGATCTTACAGCCCACCTGGTGTTAAGTGGTTACTGGAGCCCATAGACATCTACAAACATAAACGCGCTACCCACCTTGAGATACAAGTTCTAAGGTCTCAGTATAGTTACAACGGCTGCCCCGCCCTTCAAACCGAAACGCATTTCTGCTTCACGGCAGAAATAGACGGGGTGGTGGTACCTACCCGCGCGGACTCACAAGAGGTCCTACCAGTGAACTGAAGGATTCAATAGTAATATGAGACCAGGATTTACCAGTACCAATTGCATAAGGGTATAGAGACCGTCACTGCATATCTATTAAGGCTAATAATACATAAGAGCTCCTTCCAGGAGACGGGAGTCAGCTGGAGAATGAACTGGAGTACTTATAGTCATAATATAGTTACAGTATAGAATTTTAAATCGTTTTTCTTTCGTTCAGTTTTAGAGAGATGAACAATCGATACAAAAACCGTGTCCCGTGCCTATAAATAATTTGAGAAGGTGCCTGCAACGCCCCCAGTACGCAGCCATCTCGATATGGCTTCGTTGAAATAAAAATAGCTCCGCCGACCGACCGGTGGAAATTATGCAAGCAGACTTCGAATGAGCCCTGTTAAGCGCCGAATGTCAGTACCGTTACTTCTATTTTTAGTTAAACTTGACGATCGGGCTGGAAACTTTTTGAGTTGGGCGCGGGAGGACATTGGAGTTTTATTCGTTTGACATTTTTTGTACTTAACTAGCTCGTGTGCTTATCTACAGTCGTGGTCAACTAATTAGGGACATTCAAGATAGTGAAGGGCTATAACCGGTTATGTACATTTAAATATAAAACCCTATTGATTTCTCAGCACCTATTATTTGCATAATGTGGTCCGATTATTATGCTATAAATGGCTGTAAATAAAAGATTTAATAAATAGAAAAAGTATTTAATATCAAAGATTAAACATGTATTAAATATTAAGGTACAATTCTGTAGTGGACATTTAATTAAGGACAGTAAAGTATAATGAAAAATACAGTTACACAAAACTTATAATCTTCAGTGTTATAATATCTTTAACAGCTCCATTTTATTACGTGTAGAATCAGTACCCAGTAGCAAAACCTTTGTTAGTAATTACCGCTTGACACCCATGTGGCATAGACATTATCAGTTTCTTACATGTTTCGACAGGAATGTTTGCCCATGCCTCACAAAAAGCTTCATGAAGTTCATCAAAATTTGTATTACGATAAGTGGAAACTTTTTTCTTGATTTCGTGCCAAAGGTGCTCAATTGGGTTGAGGTCCGGGCTATTTGCTGGCCAATCTAGCACCGATACAAACTGACTGGTAAGAAACGACTTGACTGAATGGGCGGTATGTTTCGGGTCGTTATCCTGCTGAAACGTCCATATAATAGGGAGATGCTCCTCAGCTTAGAGAAGCATAGTTTCTTCCAATATTGCCTTGTATTGATGTTGGTCTAAGTTACCCTGAACTTTCCTCACAGGTCCCACTCCACGTCCAGAAAATGAACCCCATATTTTAATGTTTCCACCGCCATGTTTCACCTGTTTTTGTGAATCTTGGATTCATTTCCGCTTTTACAGGACGCCGTACATATTGCCTTCCATCTGAAGAAATCAAATTAACCTTGGTCTCGTCAGAGAAAAGTACATGTTGGCATTGGGCGTAGGTCCAATGTCCATATTTACGTGCAAATGCCAAACGAGCATTTCTCCGTTCTCTTCCGAACAACCCTGCTTCTACCAAACGTCGTCGAACGGTCCTCGCAGATACACCGGCTCTTTCGTTTGCCCCAAACACTTCGTGTTTAATTAAAATAGAGCCTAGAAACGGATCTTCCGTAGCTAACCTGGTTATCATTCTATCTTCTTGCGGAGTCGTTTTTCTCGATCTTTTTGTTCTGGACACATTTAAAGCTGTGTTATAGCGCTTGAAATGTTGCACTGCATTGCATACCATAGTTTTTGAACAATTTAAATGTTGTGCTATCTTTCGGTATGACCAACCACGCTCGACAAACTTCATGATAATTTTTCGTAGTGTTGGATCGCAACTTTTATTTTTGCCCATTTTTCTTCAAAATAATTCTTTAAACTTAAACTATAAAATCTGGATTGCCGCCAAAACGACCACTAAACAATAAGAAAAGAAACAAAAAAGTATTAAAATTCAAATTTTCAAATTAGAACGCAATACCTCAGTGTCCCTAATTTAATGGCCAGCCAGCATTCTTTGAACCAATAGCACTATGATATTGTATCAGCTATACTGTAAAGAGGTTTGATGTTTAAGAAGTCGTTATTGTTTGTATAATCGCGCACATAAATGACTAATTACACTTACATGTAAAAGATATGGAATATTGCTAAGACTCGTTGGAAAATAAAAAAAATATTCACAATTTGGCTTAACTAGAGTTTGTCCCTAATTAGTTGACCACGACTGTATATATTAATACGCGAAGGAAAAACTTTGTAGCACTTTTTACGAAAATTGCGCGGACGGAGGAGTATGAAATTTCTCACACTTATAGAGAAGGAGTGCAGAATGCTAATATTTTTTTAAATTATACCTAAAAATAACATTAAATCAATAAAAAAAAACATTACACACCCTACCATGTATTTGGCGCACACACGCATGCATACTATTTATTTATTGTCAAACTTTTGTTCTTGACGTCCGTTGTCAAATTGAGAATAGATTAAATATTGTTTGTCTTTATTAATATTTTTCTATAGTGTGTAGTCTTGGCGAAATTTGTGATTACAGAAGTATAATAGTCTTTGACAATAAAATCTTAATAGTGTACAAACTTATAATTTCAATTAATTATAGTCGAATTTCGACTACCAGGCGACCAGTAGTGTGTTTTTAAAAAGTTAATTTTTCCGCGCTCCCGCGCATCCCGAAGATAGTATTGTTCCAGTTTTATGTGCGTCCAAAACATTTATCAAACAAACACACTTGGATTCTGAATGCTAAATATATTTTACACAGATATAAATTTGGTTTGATACAAACGCTGTTATATACGTATAAGCATATTAGGATAGATAGGACCACACTACTAACAATTGCGGAAAATTTATGTATTTATAAAATTGGACGTCTAAGCCTTTAGACATAAAGTTGTTTTTACTTGTACATCAATTTAAAATTCCAATCATAATAGTGTTCTATCGCAACACATTTTTCCGAATTTAAAATTTCGTCACAATTTTTTTTCTTTTTTATCTATGTATGTATTTTCAAGAATAACTGTTATAATCTCTTTCGGTTCATTTAATTTCATTGTCTATTTACCTTGAGACTGGTTGTGGTAATTCCATGCAAGCAACATCATTTTCAACTTCTCAGCGTCTTTCGCGAGGGCCTGACCTGCACCAGATCACATTCGCCAATCAATTTTCAATTATTCAAAATTTCGTAGGCTTCTCGAACATTCAATATCAAAACATCCAATTCGGTTCGTTAATATTTTATTGTGTGGCACGCAACATTCGATTTTCATTGAGAATGTCCCATAAAATACTAACGTTTTAAAATTGATTTGATGCAAGTGGCTTGGTTCAATCAAGCGATCTGCTGAATAACTTACTAGTGAAGTTTTCTTCTTCATTCATGTCGTGCGGCTCCGGAGTTAAGTTGTCCTGCAACAAAGAAAGACCATATTAGGAGTTTAAGATAGACTGGTGGTGGGACCTCTTGTGAGTCCGCACGGGTGGGTACCACCGCCCTGCCTATTTTAGCCGTGAAGCAGTAATGCGTTTCGGTTGGAAGGGTGGGGCAGCCGTTGTAACTATACTGAGACCTTAGAACTTATATCTCAAGGTAGGTGGCGCATTTACGCCATAGATGTCTATGGGCTCCAGTAACTACTTAACACCAGGTGGGCTGTGAGCTCGCCCAACCATCTAAGCAATAAAAAAAATAAAGAAACAATTAATCACTGAAAGTAGGTTAACAGGGCAGGACCAATGGTTAATCCAATATTCCGTGAAAGAGAATCGATGGAACACACAATTATCAACGTTAAAACGTGTCTATTGAGTACCGATATATGTACTTCAACTAGCGTTCGATTTAAAACATCCAAAGGACATATTATTATTTAATCGATTTTCCAAACTAATTTCTTTTTACTATTTTTTTTTTGCTTATGCGGGTAGACGGTCTCACAGCCCACCTGGTGTTGAGTGGTTACTGGAGCCCATAGACATTTACAACGTAAATGCGCCACCCACCTTGAGATATAAGTTGTAAGGTCTCAGTATAGTTGCAACGGCTGCCCCACATTTCAAACCGAAACGCATTACTGCTTCACGACAGAAATAGGCGTGGTGGTGGTACCTACGCGCGCGGACTCACAAGTGGTCGTACCACCAGTAAAGTGTTCCGAGCACGCTGAAAGCTACACAATCAACGAATAACATATTGTAATGGAACGAAACACGCAACGATTATCAGGTTACTTAGTTTGGTTGGCGATATTGGCGTATTGACGATAGGATGTCCATATACCGCCACATACATATTACTAGAGCGAAAAATCCTGGAATTCTTGTCACGATAAGCATGTTTATATTTTTTACTGCTTAGACCGATGAAAGAGCTTACTGTCCGTCTGTTGTTAAGTGGTTACTGAAACCATCAGGCATCAAAGACGTAAATGCCACCACCCATTTGAGACAAGAGTTCTAAATCTCAGTTCAATAGTAAAGCAGCAGTCTCACCCTTGAAGCCGGAACGCATTAATACTATTCAGCCTTTAAAGGGCTATGTAGAGACCCTTACACCACGATGCACCGTGAGAACCAGCCCACCACGGAAGTAAAAATCAGGGTATACACAAGTTGGCGGGTTGCAATAATTAATAAATTAGCGAATCGCCGGCAGGCTGCGTGCTGGGGCGGTCAACGCTCCTGTCCGCGAACGCAAATCGATCGAGCTTCAAATGGACAATCACTAAATATAGATATACACCACCTCATGTGTTCTGTTGTCCTGGTACCACCTAGGTTGACTAGGCTGACCCCGTTTGTTTGCAGTAATGCGACGGATAAATTTTAACCGCAGGATATTTTTTTTATTGCCCTTGTAGGCAGACGGGCATACGGCCCACCTGATGGTGAGTGGTTAAAGTCACCCATGGACATCAGCAATGCCAGGGGCAGAGTCAAGCCGCTGCCTATCGTTAAGTACTCTCCACAAGCCTCGTTTGAAGAGCGATGTCTAATAGCACTCGGGAAACACCGTGGAGGGGAGCTCATTCTATAGCCGGATGGTACGTGGCAAAAAAGACCTCTGGAAACGCACTGTGTACGAACGTAGCGGCTCCAGGTAGTATGGATGAACTCTACTCCGGCGGGCGGTGCGATGGTAAAAACGAGATGATGGTATCATCTCAAACAATTCCTCAGAGCACTCCCCATGGAACTTACGGTACAAAATACAGAGGGAATCGAATTCCCTCCACAGACCCAGAGGTTCCAAACGATCCGTATTTATCGGTTTTGTAACTAAACATAGCAATAGTAATTAAAGATAGTGTGCAAAACACTTTTTTTTTTAATATGAATACCCCTTCTTCTTACTGGTGGTAGGACCTCTTGTGAGTCCGCACGGGTGGGACATACAGGATGGTAAAAGATCTCGTGGAAGAAACCCCATGCGCCGGACTTATCAGATAAAAACCCTTGCCAAAACCCCCTTTAACGAGTGCGTGGGCCAAGCCCCAGCTCGCGAACTATGGAGAACAGCTGTCGAAGCTTTAATAAACAATGATTCCACATGACCACGACTGCTCTGCCAAGAGTAACCGACTATGATGATGATGATGAGGAATCACAACCGTATTGTGTAACAGCTGACCCACCCCTAAGACCAAAATGTATGATTGTTTGACGGCAAAAATAAACAGGATACCGGTACTTACCCTGGCGGACTTACAATAAGCGTTACCATGAGAAAAAAATTGCGAGGAGATGTATCCAGCTAAGTGGGCTCACAATTCACTCTACCACCAATAACAACTTACTCATTCATTAATAACTGTTTTCTTGTACGACTTTACATGTGCATGGTAATGCTTTATTTTTGAAGCAGATATTTTTGATGCAGAACAGCTGTCGAAGCTTTAATAAACAAGGATTCCACATGACCACAACTGCTCTGCCAAGAGTAGTAAAAAAAAAATTTACACTGTAATTTTGTTAGTTTTAATAGTTGTTTGTTTTACGTAAACATACAAAATACTAAAACAAGTGCACAGCGATCGTTAAAGATCTCAATGAAAATTTATTCCGAATGTGTCCTTCGTATTCCACTCAGAACCATACACACGTGCATTGTTATATTGTGCGAACAGAATGGGGCGCTAAAATGTTACTATTAATATTTATTATTAAATCTTCATTTTAGTAAAGAAATCATACATTTAGTTAGTATTACTTATAATCTATGTTAGTAACTTAAAAACCGAACACATTACTACCTGACTATCTATATATTAATACGTGAAGCAAAAACTTTGTAAAATTGCGCGGACGGAGGAGTATGAAATTTTCCACACTTATAGAGAATATAGAGAAGAAGTGCACAATGCTAATATTTTCTTTAAATAATGCATAAAAGATACATTAAATCAATTAAGAAACATTACACACACTACATACCATGTATTTGACGCACACACGCATGCATACTATTTATTGTCAAACTTTTGTTCTTGACGTCTGTGGTCAAATTGAGAATAGATTAAATATTGTTTGTCTTTATTAATATTTTTTATAGTGTAGCCTTGGCGAAATTTGTGATTATAGAAGTATAAAATACAATCATAATAGTGTACAAACTTACAATTCCAATTAATTATAGTCGAATTTCGGCTACTGCGGGACCTCTAGTTAATTACAATTATGCAAATTATGCGTATCTGTTAACTTATTTTCAATGTTAATAGTTGAGCTTCTGCTATATGAGTCGACTATTATCAAAGTCGGCAATGTGACTTTTGTACAATTATTGGTAAATCAGAAAAACGAATTATTGACTTTGTATTCCATTGGCAGTCACAAAACTTTTCTGAACGACATCTTAGATAAATAACAGGTTAACTATTAACCTTTATTTAATGCAGGTTTTGAACCGTATTCTTTGAAGGAGACGATTATGTTCAAATCAATCTGTATTGACATAACAACAACATTTTTTTGTCCAAATGCACAGATTGCCACCTTTGATAATAGACGACTCATATGTAGAAAAATGTTAAAGTTTGCTTTTAAAAGTTTGTATGCAAAATGGCAGAACATAAAGGAATCAAAATGCTCAATTGTTAAATATCTTGCAAATTTTGCTATAATAAATAGCGCAATCAGAATGTTTCAAATCTTTTCATTTACATAAAACAATCAATAACTATATACATACTTTGCAACACACCATTGTTGCAAAGAAAACAAAATAAAGCGTTGCATCAATGGAAAAATGTCATCAACATTTTTTCCTCACAGTGAGACAACAATTTAAAAATAATTTATTTTCTATTGCCTTTAAACTTTTAAAAATAGAACAATACATCTATAAACTTTACAGACTATCAATTGAGAAAATTTTAAAAAGGTAATTTTAAATTATATAAGGCTTCTTCTACACGAAGCAGCATTTTAGCTTCACGCATCAGCTGACTAACTCACGAAAACAAACGAAGATTTCTATTCAACAAGTGGAAGCTTGTCTTTACTGTGACTTTGCATTACAAGCGCTTCAAATCTAAGTATTACAGGATTATATCTATATATTAATACGTGAAGCAAAAATTTTGTACCCCTTTTTACGAAAATTGCGCGGACGGAGGAGTACGATTTTTCCTACACTTATAGAGAATATAGAGAAGGAGTGCACAATCCTATATTTTCTTAAAATAATGCATAAAAGATACATTAAATCAATAAAGAAAACATTACACACACTACCATGTATTTGACACACGCACGCAGGCATACTATTTGTTTATTGTCAAACTTTTCTTATTGCATAAAGTCTATGGTCAAATTGAGAATAGATTAAATATTGTTTGTCTTTGTAAATATTTGTCTAAAGTGTAGTCTTGGCGAAATCTGTGATTATAGAAGTATAATTAATAGTCTTTGACAATAGAACCATAATAATGTTCAAACTTATAATTTCAATTAATTATAGTCGAATTTCGACTACTGCGGGACCACTAGTTATTGTTATTACGCGGGCATACGAACAAGCAGTTTAAATTCAATCTCTGACAAATATTTTTGATATAATTTGTACACGTTCGAATAGTTACTAAACTTGATATTTTAGGTAATTTTATTTATTAATACGCTTTTATTAGCTTCAGACGTATGTATGTTAGTATGTAACGGAATCTTTGAACAGAAATTTGGCATACTTATTAAGGACCGATGACAATTCAATATTTAAAAAATATATGAAAAATTCGACTAAAAGATGAAAAATAAATAATAGTTTAAAAATTTAAAAAAATACGCTTTTATAGAAAATCCAACTAAAAAATATAAAATAAATTTTAATAAATTTGAATTAAAAATAGCGTAAGAAAAAATTATTTTATTGTAAAAAAACGTGGTCGAGTTCGACGAGTAGTTACCGG